GATCTTGAACTCAATCCACTCCCTAATTATTTTATAATATCACAGGATTCTCTTCCTTATGTTTATAGAACAACCCAAAATGTACTTATTATTAGCATTCCAACAATTAAGTCAAAAGGATTTACTCTTATAGACATTGAAAATGATAAGTGTGAAATTATTTATAAATAAAATATACTTTTGGGAAATTTTAATTTTATTTAAAATTTTATTGCATGAAAAGTTATCAAGACTTAGACAGAGAGGTATTTAAATATTTTAGAAGAAATGAACTAAATTATGTTTATAAAGAAGATATAAAGTATCTACCAATAGAATACCACAAGAACAATGAAGTAAAATTAGAAAAGATAGAACCATTTATTAGAGAGATACTAGTTACTAAAAAAATACCAGTTCATGAGTATACAGAAGATAAAGAAGGAAATGTAATAATAAATAAGGTGGTGTTTAAACTAACTAAAACAGGAATGCCTTCTAATTATAATGACTTTTTAGATATTTGTATTTCTAATGAGATAACACCAACGCTTTGTTCAGTAGAAATGATTGATAAGAAAGTTAAATTTAGACTTTTAATTGATTCTAAAATAAGAGAAACAGACTATTTTGATGATGATTTATATTCATTGACTTATTCACTGGTATCCCTTAACAACTGTATATTAATATTACATAAAGACACCAATTTAAGTAGGATATTTAATTCATGGGGAATTCAAAGTCTTGTTATTAAGAACAACAAAGAATTAGGAGTGATAGAAAATTATATGAAGTTAAATTTTGAAGTTGAAAAATTTGAATGTGAAGATAGATGTATTGTTAATATTGATGATTTTGATTTAGTAGATTTTGGAATGCAAACCCAACAAGGGAAAAAACTATTCAATCAATGGTTAAGAGCACCTTTAATTAATAAGGAAGAAATAGAAAGAAGACTCAATATTTGTGAATATTTTACAGGAGTTAATTTAGATTTAAATATAATTGTTGATATAAAAAAGATTATAACAAGAATTCAAACTAAAAAGATTTCACTAACTGAAATTATAAGACTTTATCAGTGTATTAATTTGATTCCAAAAATAATAGAAAAATTAAAATGCACTCCAAATAAGCAATTCTCACAACTTCATTTTAAAAATCACGCAAATTTGATAGAAGAAGAATTTTTAATTCCTTTGAATAATGTTTATGGATTATTGCATAAGGTTTTAGAAATAATAGAAAGAGACATTGATATAAAAAATGAAGAAGTTAAAGAGAATGTATCAGGAAGAATAGCTAATCTTAATATTGTTAAACAAAATATTAATAACTTAGTAGATGAAGAGTTAAATAGAGTTAAAGTTATATTTCCTAAAGCAAAAATATTTAATAATCAATTTAAAACAACTTCCTATGAATTTAAT